AAGGAAAAATCCCTACACCAGACATTCCCCTTCTCAACATAGCAGTTATTTTTGTTTTCTCTCTAGCCATTTGAGAGCACCTACTATTCTTTAGAAATAGATGTTTTGGCTGGCTTTAAACAAAAACAAAAACAACAATATCCAGATCCTCAATGTATTTCAGTTACAACTTACAATCAACACTGAAGTTCAGTTTATTTTTTTAACCTATTTTTACTGTTCTGCTTTTGAAAAAACTGCACATTTGCAGTAAGCTTCATTCATATTGCATCTTCTACAGCCACTTAGATCTACATATGAACTATACGTTTATTTTATTTGATGTCTTCTCGTTATGATCTACTAAAGGTCCTTGCCTGATAAAAAATCATAGAATTCAATTTTCTGTTTTTCTAGCTGAAATTAAACGTACCATTTTTTCCCTCCAAAGCAAAAAATAAAAAAATTAAAAAAAATCCCTAGCAACCCCCATTCCATTTTTTATGAGAAATTCACCAGCTTGTCAGAAATACTCAGAAACATTTTCAAAAAGCTCTAGTAAAAAATGCACATGTACATCTCTCCCCCAGAATACTGCGTGTAGCGCATGGCTGCTAGCATCTATACATAAGTAGCATTAAAGCAATTGAAATAACCTTTTCAAACATGAAGCCGTGGCTGTTCCTATACAAGGTATTTCCAGTGTCTCCAGTACTGTTCTGCATTTCCAACAGCAGAAATCTGTTAAGAGAAGCAGGAGCGGACAGCACCCAGCAAGTTTCAGAGGAGACAGAAAGGGCCCAGTCCTGCTCTGTCCCTGCAGCCGGAGGCACCAATTCACCTGTTGGTTCTCAGCTCAGCATCACCACCAGCTACAGCCATCTCCAGTCCGGTCGTGACCAACCACAACAACAGTGACAAAAAGTAATTCAACAGCACACAAAACATTTTGAATTTTTTAAGACACCAAACCCCCATCTACCTGTTTCTGTAAAATACAATTCATGGCTATGCTGCTTTTTGCCCCTACAACAACATTCCAGGCTCCCCTCTCCCTTACGACTCTTTTCTTTCTAGTGTTTATCTTAATTCAACTCCATCTAAGTCAATCCTTCACAAATTACAACAAATCTTCCTTAAAATTCCCCCATGAGCCTTACCACCGCTTTGCAGCATACTTCTGGCTTTCTACGGAGCCTCTGCACTGAAACACAGGGAAAACGCCTTAACACAACTGCCCTAATGAAGCATTTCCCGGAGACAGCAGAGGTGACAAACAGAATGAGAGCAAAGCCAAGATGCCATCTCGACTTCAGGCAAACAACCTCTTCTGACCTCTGGCAGCTCCCACACTCTATTAAACAAAACGTATTCTCTCCATGTTAATGAACCATGTACAATCTAACAGATAACACTGATGCTAAATAAACATGTTTATAGGTGACTTCTAATGCTAGGACTTAAGCAGCCGCAGACAAACAATTTTAAATGGGAAGGATTATGCCCATGTAATCTTTTTCTTCTCATTTTAGGTACTTTTGAAGTAATTTAAATACAATTAAAGTCCTACCAGGAAGAGTGACTGAAAATAACTTTAATTAATTTAAATTAAATATTCATTCTGTGACACATTCACTGGAACTGTCGATGTGGTGACAGTCGCTGTTTTGGATCCAATTTTTCTCTCCTACTATTTTCAGCAGTAAATCAACTTATTGCCAAAGAAGGAAACAGGGTCTGGTTTTGTACACTGCGATCAAAAATATTTTACAAGGTGACTGCACAGTTCTACATCCTTATTCCTGTTTTCTCATCTCTCCTGATTCAACACTTTGGCAGCACCAAATCTACCAGCAAATGGCAACACCTCCAGGCCCCAAAGACAAAACCAAGGTACGCAACTATTTGCGTCCTAATTGAGGGGCTTATCCTCACCTGATTAAAGTAGGGTGTTTGTTAAACATCCTTACTTGAGTTAAGATCTGCAAATAAGGATGAAGAATTGTTTTAAGAATTGGGCTGCCATGAACAATTGTTTTTTGATGAGACCTTGTAAAAACAGCCCCAGTCAAGATGGTCTTTCTGGCTTTTTGTTAGAAAAGTGAAGGAAGGTTTTGCTCACTTCTACCTTTTCCTCTTTGCTGTAACTATTTTCTGTCCTGTGTAGTGCAATGTGGAATGTAATGAAAAGAACTCGATTGTTAGTACAGCAATATTGCTGTTGCTGTGAATATGTGCATGCAGTAACAATCCATCAGAAAGGGCCGTACAAATTTTCCCACTTAATCTAGAAAATGAGCCCTCAACTTACGGGATATATTTAAATTCATCATAGTAAAACTGCAGAGTTCCATGGTTTATGAAAAGGATCTGAATTTGCAACTTAAGAGATCATCCCTAATAAAAGTTACTACAACGAGGCAAAGTTAACTCAAAAACATTTTCCTGGCATTGTAAGAACTTTTTTTTAGGAACAAAATTTTAAAAGCATTTTTCACTGCACAAGTAATCTTAACAATCATTTCCACAGATTAAGTCTAACAACCTGTGAATTTATTACAGAAGAAATTTACTGCAAGGAATAATTAGTCTTCAGCACTGTTCTTGCTTGCTTTCCAGCTGAAGACACCTTAAAGCCATCTGGTTACTGCAAAGTTTGGCACAGAAGAAACAAATCTTACTGACGAGAATTATAGCTGAATTCAGAATAGCTGCTTTACTACTACACATCATAAATAACACTCGGGAAGACAGCAGAAAATTACTGACTTCTTTAATTGTTTTCTTCCTCAGCAGTGTGTACCTACACACACCGACATACAAACGCAGCCACAGCGACTTCGAGCAGGGCACCTTATTGGCTTGAGCCTTAACATACCACCAACATTTGCAGGATTTGCAATTAAACTATTTTTATTTTCAGAAAAAAACCATCACATCGGCCATCTATGGAAGGACAACAGCAGAGGAACACACAAGATTCTCGAAACGGTATTCTGAGGTCAAGGTCTTCGTATGAATACGTGAGTCAAATCCCTTTGTACAACTGAGATACGTCTGTACATAGAACACTGAATGTGGGACTTACTGATGAAGGGGGAATTACCAACAATATATTTATTTCTCCCTAATGAAGCTTTTCTAATGAAATTTAATACTGCCAAGGTTGTGAGATATTTGAAACAGGAGCCCATTTCAAACCTTTCAGCCAAATGCTGGTGATACCATTAGCGAGGCGTGGGAATCGAGTCTGTACGTAGTGCTGGACAAAAAGTGAGCTGAGGGGAGAGGCTGAACAAAGCAAAGCAAAATAGAATTGCGGCCTCAAACCAAAGGAGTACACATTTGTTATTAGGCCAAATGTTTTGACCTGCTGGTTGGGGATGTAAAAGTGACAGAGGTATGAGAATTGGCTGGATGATTTGACTCAAAATTTTAATTTAATTTTGCATCACACAGGAAGTTATTTTTTTTCTTTTTTCTTTTTTTTTGTAAGATGCAAATTAGAGTAATTAAATCAAGTTATTTGCTGTAGCATCATTGGAAGTGAATTTTCAACATACATTTTAAAAGATTTTGGAATGTTTCCAAAGCTGCAAGCGCTAATTATTTTCAGGGCATCTGTACGGTAAGCCTTTCCTTCTATGTAATATTTGAGCCCATAATATTTGAGACTTACATTTCAAGACAGAATTAAGAATTCAGGTTCGTATAAGAGAAGAAATGGTTTATTCAAAGCAAAACGACAAGTAGAAAAATTACCTCGTATGTAGCAACATGTAACACAAACCACAATGCAACGTGGGATGCATGAAAGGAGCTACAAAACATCAGCTTATACATAGAAGCTGTAGTTTAGACACATCCCAGCTTTTAGGGACCAGATGCCCCTGATGCACGCAGAGTGGGCAGAAAGCATTTTGTCGTGCTTTCCCAATGTTTTCGTGGAAAACCTCCCGGAGAGAGCAGCGCAGACAGAGGAGGCTCTCACTAAATCCCCAAGTCCACAAGAAGGATTAAACAATGCGATACTCCTGCAACTGCCCCGAACAAAGTCAAGGGATGCGTGAATTTGATACCGTACTGAACAAAATTCCCGTTAATAAATTTGATTAAATGTTTATTGGTTAACCATACGCATTTAACAACTAAAATTTCACCCTGCAAAACATAGCACCGTTCGAAACTTCCGAAAACAGGAGTTGTGTCCCGTCGCTAATTTCCGTTAGAGGCTGTTCGCTGCGCTCGGGCACAACTTAACGCTCCAAAAAGTGTACTTCAAGCGCATCAATCACCCGAGAAATTTTCCTCACAGGAGCAATTGCAAAAAAGGAGCATAACTAACTTTATTTAAACGCACATTTCAGTTTGCAATAGAATAGCTAACCGAAGCTGGTTTAAGGTAAGCCGGACGGTCCGCAGCGCATCAAATAACCGCACCAATTAACCCCGCCGCAGCCGCGCCCGTAGGACCCCGAGGCGATGCCGCGTTTCGCCCCGCAGCGCGCCCGCGGGAAGCGGCGGTGCCGGGACAGGCGCTGCGCTCCGCTCCGGGTCCCGCTCCGCTTCGCGCCGGCCGGGAACGCGGGATCTCCGCAGGCAGCCGCGCACGGGACCCCGCCGCCTGCAGCAGCGGGGTCTGAACGGCAGCAGACTGTCGTTCCCCCGCCCGTACTCACCGGAGCCGCAGCGCTGCGGAGTGTGCGCGCCCGCCGCGGGCGCAGTGAGCATGTGCGAGGCAGGCGCGCATGCCCGCGGATAGGAGCGGAGCGGAGCGGGGCGGCGGCTCCGCACCCCGCGCAGCGCCCACCCCTCCCGACCGCGCTTCCCCGCGGTGCGTGACCTTGCGAGGGTCCGTCCCCAGCGAGCCCGACCTGTTGCTTCCCCGCAGCGAGCCCGCCCCAGGGCAGCCCCGCACCGCGCCGTCGGCTCCGCACGGCCCCGCATGGCCCCGCACAGCCCCGCACAGCCCCGCACAGCCCCGCAGAGCCCCGCAGGCGGCCGTCCCGCCCCGCACCTACCGCACGCGTGGGGCCCCGCCGCCTCGCAGCGTGCGCCCTCGGAGCTGTCCCGCCGCTCGCTACATCCCGGCCCGGCGGAGGAGGAGCTTCCAGCGGCTCCCGCACGCCGCGGGGCCCGGCCGGAGCGCGGGGCAGCCTCTCGCTGCGGTCACCAACGCGTCCCCCTGCGCGAGCCCGTTGCTCTGCCTGCTGTGCTCGGCGCTCCCCCGCGCTTTCTAACTTGCCGGGCTGAGCCGGGCCGTGCTTTCATTTAGTAGCAGGTACTCCCTCAACGTGCTTTCTGCTTTCAGCTTTATCTGGATTGATGCTCTCAACCTACGTTTAGCTGTATGTTTTTAAGAGGGATTCTTGGTTTAAAACATGGGCGTTTGAACACAACCTTATCTCCTGTGTCAATTTTTAAATGTCAATTTTAAAAGAATATTTGGGAGAAGTTTATTTCTTTTACACACACTACTGCAAGACTTGCAGAGCTACAGGAGCAGCCTCACTCACACAAGGCATCCCTCTGCTCTCACCGACTTGGGTGTTGCACAGCTCCTGGTCCCCAGGGCTGAACCCCCCCAGCACATGCCATCCTGCTCTTCCTTCCAACATCCCCACGGGAGCAGGGCTGCATCCATGGCCATATGGAGGCAGAAAAGCCAAAAAGCACAAAAGGTGCCTGTGCTTCGCCTCATCCCAGTACACAGGTAGCACACATCCACCCCTGCCCACCAGCGTACCTGCTCGCTGGGGAAGCAGCCTGGCCACGGCGGCATCGGGATATTTTGTTTCTGCGCCCTGCTCTTCCTCTTTCCTCCCCCCTTTCCAGCAGTTTGGGGCAGGCTGCAGCTCTCCTGTTCTGACTCTGCAGCGGACGAGAGCCTCCAGTCCTTGCCCTGACAGCTTTTATTACACCTAGCCCTTTCCTCAGGAAGGGGAGATCCCAGGAACCGTGGTAGAAAAGCCAAAGGAACACAAAGGGTGTTGAGTTCAGGGTTTGAACAAGCTGCAGCCCACTCATGGATTTAGCTCAAAATTTTGACAATGGAACAAAAACATCATTGCAACGAGACAGCTGTTTTTACTATCAAAATCTCTCAGATCAGTTTGACTGCAAAGTGTGTTCCTGCAGTCCTGAGGAGACAAAGCTCCCAGCATCAGTGTGGAGCTGGCAAGCTTCCTAGCATGAACTACCTCCTGCCGGCCTAGGAAAACCAAAGCTCTTTCAGTTGTTATTCCCCATCAGTTCTCAGCTCTCACCCTGTGATTTCCCCATGGCTTATCTGCAGCACTGAGCTTACACCGCTCTCACATTAAACTCTCAGGGATCAGTGGACCTCCTTGCTTCCTTTTTTGTAATCTTGGTACTGGTGAGGAGTCTCTGAGGCACAAGTAAGCATTTGGGACTCTCAGGATCTGTCTTGAAAAAAAATCTCTTCCTTTTCCCCCAGCCCTGCCCAAAAAACTGATTGCCACATTAGCTTCTTTTGTAGCTGGTCTTAACAAGTAAGTTCCTATATACTAATCATTTAAAAATGCCTTGCATGCAAAATTCACTCAACCCCTGATTTCACAATACATTTAAATATATGCTTAGTCTTATGCATGTCCTGTAACAATCAATACAATTATTTACTTAAGTGCTTAAAGCCAGGCAGGTATTTAAGAATTAGTATTGTTTGTGGTAATGCCACAGAAAGGCAGAGACCAGGACCTCATTGTTTGTACAGCACCCTGCACACAGAAAGACACTCCTTGTCCCTTTCAGCGTAAGTAATTTTTGCAACTTGTGAATTAATGCCAGAAACACCTTTTCTGAGCCTGTGGGCAAACATTATTTGTCTACTCTAAAATCCTTTCTGTTTACCAAAAACACTGTATGCAGTATTTAGAAAAGCAGATAAGGGTGCAGTGGGAAAAGGGTGCAAAGAGGAAGATAAAGGATATACTTTCAATTAGGAATTTTAAGTATTTTCATCATTGCTAATAACCAGTAAAATGCCTGTAGATCTTAAAGGTGATATAGAAAGGCAGGGAAACAAGCTGTTTTCTGCCCCATGGATGGGATTATGGGTTGGAGTCCCCCCTGTGCTTCTTCCCATGTGCCATATAATGAATGAATGAACAGAAACTGGAGAAAGGTCAGGTATTCACCAAATGGAAATGCTGCCAGTCAGCGGGCTGGTACTGTACACAGTGTATTCCTTGAGGAAGTAATTCCACTTTTTGCTGTCCACCTCATAGTAGGAATGAACATGGTTACACCAGCACAAATCAAAGGTGAGTCAGCATTTTGGCCTACAGCAGGCTCTCTGGCAGTTGAGATCTCATGCCACTCTCTGACACAAACCTAGGTGAGGAGCCCTCCAAAAGGTATAAAGGTTTTATTGGGTACTGAATATTATTAACCTCCAGCATAGAAACACCCCAAGTCAGACCTGGAGCATCACAAAGTTCTTTTACCAAGCGTAAGATTTTAGAAGCAATGCATTCTGAGTTCTTGTTAATTGTTCTTTGGTCCATGGATTCATGTTTTCAATTTATCTTTGCAACCACAGTGCTGAGTAACTTACTTGTCTTCTCAAACTGAGAATCTTGCATCAAAACACAATGCCAGAGCTCAGGCTTTCTGAAAAGGAACTCTTGTGCTTAAGAAGACTTTCAACGAAATTGCAAAAGTTGGCAACCCCATTTCCTAACACATTACTTTGTGGACTGCAGAGAATTTTCATTCTCAGGGCTAATGGTTGCTTCCTTTCTGGTAAAGGCCCAGAACTTCTGCCACTGTTATTGTTAGAACATCATTAATTTATGCAGTGCTTTAAAAACAGAGAGGTACCCTGTCCTCGCTTAAACAAGAGTGTAAATGACACAGGCTGGAGACTATTTTGAATCTTCTCTGTACAGATAAACAGAATTACTTTTAAAGAGCTATTTCATGTATTAGTGTCAAAATCCTGCAGGGTACTAATGGTCTGACTCTGGAAAGACTTGAATCGTAATTTTAATACAGCTGGACTGAGCTCAGTATGATAAAGTGCTTAACTGGGGACTGGCTGCTTAACAGGAGTGTTATGTGAGGAGGGGTAACAGTGCTCTGCTTGGTTGTGCTGGTGATGCCAAAAGGTTCTGCACCTAGAAGGGTGGGTTCTTCTGGGGATGACACAAGCTGCATGAAGGATCCAGTGCTAACATTTTGCATTCTGTGCTGTGAGCCAGTGTAACATTTTTCCTGTTTTTTTATTTTTTTCCTAAGAAATATTTATTTGCAAAGTCATAGGCCACAATGTTAAACAAATTGCTAGTTGGGTCTTTAGTACTGATGATGAACCAATATGTGTTGTCTAACCTGCTTTATCAAAATTCAGAACATTTGTAAGCAATAAACAAAGTGCAAGTTAGCTATTACAGCTCAAAATTAGGCAGGCAATAAAAAGTAATCCGAGAGGAGGACTGCAGCTACTGATACTATTGAAGCTGGTCTAAAACATATGGTTTCCAATCATTGACACAATGCACAAAAATATAACTCTGCTACTGAGGAGTGCCTGATCTTTTCACCGCTATATGATCAAATGTTTGTTTTCCAGTTTTATGTCCCCTTCCTCTTTCTGGTTTTTAAAAGTGGAAGCTTTCATGAGCTGAAGATTTGCCCCTTTGTACCACCTACAGATGGGCTTTATTAATCAATTTCCATTACTGGCCTGAAATGAAAAAAAAAAGAAAAAAAACCACCAGATTTTTAAACTTTTTTTTAAACCATCCCACTATTTTGCTTGGAATTTTTCCTGTAGAAACAAAAGTTCTCTGCACTCTATCCTTCCTGCTTCGTCCCTATTTTAGCAGAAAAAAGATTAGTACTCTGAAGACAATGAACTGTTACAAATAGCATGCCCACTAAAAAACATACAATTTATTGCAGAGTGGGGTGCAGCCATTCCTTGCAGTGGACAGTCATCCCTGAGAACAGAAATAAAAACAGTATCATCTGTGATAACAATTAATTTGCATGGAAAGGTATTAAAATTGAACATTTTGGTGAACATTTTGGTCTTTTTCTCCACAAGCTCTTTAAATAGCAATGGGAGAGAAAATGTCAGAGTTGGGCTTCCTTACGAGCTGGGATTGGAGCATTATGTGCAAGAACCTTCGCTTCCTGCTGACTCACTGCAGCACATGCTGCTATGAACCCTGTTCTGACTGTGGGAAAAGGCCATGGCTGTGCTGGCAGGAGTTATGGTCTGCAGCAGAAATCTGAAAACCTGACCTGGGACAGAGGTAGAGAAATATTTTTAAGATTTGATATGTTATTTCAATTACCAGTAATAAAAAATCACTAGGAGTTTAGACATTGATCCGCTGGGAGAGGAGGTATACCAGCATATTTTTTGGTGCTAAAGCAGAGCTGGAAAATGGCCAGTTTTCAACTATAATCAATACATGCATTGTAAGTCAGATTAAGAGAATTTGTATTACTCTTTAACAAAAGAATGCTCCCTTTGAAAAATAGGAAGAAGCATGGCTGATTGCCCTTTGATTGAAAATGGAAGGTATTTCTGCAGTTTTCTCAGAGGCTGCTAAATTTTCTTTTTTTTTTAACATTTCAAAAGAAGTATTTTGTTGATATCAGCTTCCTCCTCAGGGAGGACTTGTGAATTCCATGGGCTGGCAAACCTACTCATAATTTTTTCTCTGTTTCTGTATGATTAGAGCAGCACGCATGAGGCAAAATGTAATTCTGGGACATCACCAGAATTACTTCTGACCCACATAATATTTCATCTGCCTCCAGGTAGATGATATTACAGTAAGACAAAAAATCAATACTGAGAGAGCCCCAGGTTAGGCAGTGGTTAACTTCTGATGCAAAAGCATCCAAGTCCCTCCCTGTGACAGCAGCACCACTGGTACAGAGGGGCTGACCAGTCTTCCACTTAATGCTTTCTCTAGAATTGCCAAATATTTTGGATTTTTGTTGACTCATGAACCAAAAACCATTCTGCTTCCAACTTTGCATCTGATTCTGACTACAAGGAGGAGTCTGATTTTAGTAATCTGAATGGAAGCACTCTGGAACTTTCTAAATGTGCATGTCTCTGCTTGGAATCAGACCTTATTATTATGCACACTAAAATTGACAGTCAAAGACAAATACTTCAATGTTTTGTTTTAAACTTGGAGAAAGTTTACTTAAATTCAATCTACTTCTGTTCTAGAAGCTAACTTTTAAGTCACATTATACTTGATGGAAAAGCTAGGGACAAATTCAGTTGTACTTTCAATGTAATTTAACTACACCATAGAAACAGGCTTTCAGACCTTTCATCGAACTGATTTACGAGCGGAACTAGGGCTTGCTTAGTACAACATTTTCACAGTAAGAGTTACATTCCCACCAAAGGGAATGCTGTCAGGTAGAATGACCATGAGTCAATTCTGCCAAACTAATTGCTCTTGTTCAGATCTGCCAATCTGCCTGCCTCAAAACTTTCTAATTGAAATAATTAATGTTCCAAAATTTGACTTAAATATTTTAAACTGAGAATAGGTGCAGAAGAGTTGTTGCTGCTTTCCCCACCAATAGCATTATTAGAGTTCTAGATTTGTTTAACAAACTAATGATGCATGCTGAAGAACTGGAAAGTACGAAAGGAAATATGTTTCTAATATACCACCTTACTACATTTACTGAATGCACATGATTGCAGACTGTAAAGATTCACCCCAAGTTGAAAGAACAAATGCTCTTTCCTAACTGTCACGTAAATACACTGAAATATAAGAATTCACATCTGGTCTGATAGTGCTAAGAAATCACCAACAGTCTATTCTCACGTTGTTTTTTTGGTCAAGAAGAAACACAGTAATTCACTTGCTGATTATGACTGAGATAATTTGCATCTTGCCAGTCCATGCTAAAGGCAGGAATAAGCCACATCCTCAGTCAGTGAGACTGAGGGCTCCATGCTCCCTTTCAATAACTCATTGGTCACCCTTTGGAAGTGTAAAGCAAATAAATCAATATGATTTATAGTTTTGGGAGCAATTCTCTGCAGATCAATTTACCTAGAATAATTCTTTTAAAAACTGACTCTGTTAAAATGTTTCCTATTCATTTTGTGCTCAAGAAGATAATTAGACTAAAGTGTTCCCTTATGCTCAAAAAATGTGACCTTTTATGATCTAGCTTTTACTTTCAGTCTGTGTGCACCTTTTTCTCACTATTGTGCAGTTGTGCAGTGAATGTTCAGGCAGGAGGTTGCCCTTTATGCCCATAGGTAGAGGACAGACAAGTGCTTGCTGTCTATGGCACAGCCCAGCATTCACC